AATAAGACTTCCAGCCCCCAACCGGCTATTAAGGAAAAAGTCCCACCTTCCAGGTCACAATTGCTTTAAACAAGATGCTCTCAGCTCCTAACTGACTGTTAATCAAAAAAAGGCTCTCCATCTGGGTCCCAACTGCTTTAAACAAGAGGCTCCCAGTTTCTAATGGACTGTTAATGAAAAAGGAATATTCCATAGATTGCCAAAAAGTCAAATACACCTAACTTGGAAGAAGTGCAGCACGGTCCTCTCTAGAGGCATGAGTGGTGAGATTTATCTCACATAGTTTGGACCTGTCATCAGGAGGCACTAGCCTTGGAAAAGATGATCATACTCTGCCAAATGGAGAGTTAAAGAAGAAAACCCTCAGTGAGACACTTTGACACAGTGCTTGCAACAATGAGCTTAAGTGCAACAGAGATTGTGTGACTGGTGCAGGATCAGGCAAAGTTTCAAACCTATGTTATGGGGCCACTATGAGTTAGAAGACACCTAACAACTGCAATGCAGAAGAACATGGAGGCTTGCGAGCTGCTAGGATCCTGAACAAAATTCCACACAGTTTCTAGAAGAACACAGACTAATAAGAAACATCTGGTGATCTGCTTCTGAAATAGGCCAATCAAAACCCTGTGGAGTACAAAGGCTTGATCTGTAAGAGTTGTGGTGATGGCTCAGAACTGGGCAGCTCTGTGTTTCATTTTACATGAGATCCCTGTGAGTTGGAAGCGAGTTGGAGACTGCCGCCATGCACCCCTGGTGGTGATCATGTAGAGAGAGTTCAGAAAGGTCTCTTCTCTCCTCTCTCTCTAGGTAGTCTGTGCGTGTTGCCACTTGTTTGGGATCTCGCTGTCCCATTCTATGCTAATGACAGGCCTAAGCCTTCTAGGATATCCTCTTCTGGGTAAACTGGTCGAATGGAGTTATTTAGCACAGGCATGTGCCAGTTCCTAGAAGCTTTCTAGTCTGGAGGGCATTTGTCTGATAGAAATCTGGGAAGCAAAACTCAGAGGGTGGGCTGCTCCTGGTGAGACTGAGGGCTGGCATTAGACCTCACAAGGGAGTTCTAGACCTCAGACTTTCAGGTCTCACTGCCATTCTTGTCTAGATCTAGTGGAGCACCCAAGGTTTGGTGTCAGAGCCCCACTGCCCCAAATCCCTGGTCCACACCCTGTTCTCTCCACTCACCCTGCTTCCCAGGAGGTACCAACTCCTATGTCTCCTTAGCTGGTGGTCCCATCCCACATTCAGTGAGGGAGATCAAAGGCCATGCTGACTGTTGCCTCCATGTTCCCTACCTGGACTCCTTCTCATGGCATTAGGGACTCACCTTGTCAGGCCCCTCAGAGGCTTCCTCACCTTTACATTCTCTCAACCCTGCCTTGTTCCTCCCATTTCAGGATCACTACCAAGGTGCACCTAATCCAGGCCACGGTCTTCATGATTATTTGCTATGCATCAGAGAGCTGGATAATGACTAAGGATGACAGAAGAATTGATGCCTTCAAGCTGTGGTGCTGGAGAAGAGCATTGAACATACCATGAACCACCAAGAGAACAAATAGATCTGTCTTGGAGAGGGTGAAACCAGATTCCTCCATGGAGGCTAGGATTTTTAAGCTCTCTCTCACATACTTTTGGCACACAGCCAGGAGGGACCAGCCCCTGGAGAAAGACATCATACTTGGAAGGTTGGAGGGACAGCACAGGAGAGGAAGACCCCATATGAGATGGATTGACATGATAACTGGGGCAATGGGATTAGGTGTGTTGGAGTCCGTGAGACTGGCTCAGGATAGGGCAGGGTTCAGAGGTGTTGTACATAGGGTCACGATGAGTCACCGGCAGCTCATCAGTACATAACAACTACATCTCTTGCTATTCCTCCACTGACAGTTCTCCTCCATCAGATCTCAATTTAAACCTTGCCTCTCCTAGGAAAACCCAGCTTCAACATTGGGCTTCCTGAGTCTCCTGTGTACAACTTGATTTATGGCTACTGACTCGAGCAATATAAAATTAGACTTTTACCACTTTTACCCACAAGCTTTGTCACTCTTTTCTTCAAGCATAACTGACTGGAGGGAGAGGTTCAGGGAATTTTTCTACCTGCTTTAGGCCCTTCTAGCCCCTTCAGTGTAAACTCTCACCATGCAATCTCTATGTTAGACACATATGCTACCTCAGTCTACCCATGATGCACTTTTAGTTTCAATTTCTTTCACATTCCTTCTATACGTACAGTTCACACCTCTTCATCAATGTGATGGGATAAATGCGTTTTTCACGTTGTTGTTACTATGTGCTGTCAAGTTATTTGTGACTCATAGTGATCCTATGTACAGCAGCTCTGAACCCTGCTCTATCTTGAGCCAACCTCAGGAAACTCATTAATTTGGAGAGGCTGAAGGGTGGAATGTTATAGATTGATTTGTCTCCTCAAAATATGTTTTGGAATTCCTGCTCTTATTCCTACAGATGTTATTTTGTGAGGAAGTATGGCTTTCTTTATGCTAATGAAGTTATACTTTCATAGGGTGGGTTCTATACTTACCTATAGGTGCATTATAAAAAGAGCAAATTAGACACAGGTGCAAGCTGAAGAGACACAGATGAACTTCAAGCATTGTTAGCAGTTACTAGAAACTTAAAAAAAAAACCCCAAACACACAAACAAAAACCCAAAACAAAACACACCCTAAAACCAAAACACAAAAAACAATCTTAAACTAAAAAAACAATAGAAAAACTCCGGGCATGTTGTCATGAGGGGTCAGACCTTTGAAAAAAGACATCATGCTAGGCAAAGTAGGTCACTGAAAAATAGGAAAACCCTCAAGGAGATGGATTGGTTCAGTTAAGTGCAACAATGGGCTTGAGCATGGTGATCATGAAGGTGGTTGAAGGAAGAGAGCAAGGTTCTGATATTCATACAGTCTTGATTTAATGGCATCTAATAAGTATGTCAGAAATGATGAGGATGACACAGGATAGGACAAGGGTCAGATCAGTTTTTCATAGTCGTCAACTTGACAGCACCTAACAACAACTGGAAACTAGTAGAGATTTTGCCTGTCTTTTACTAGATATTGAAATGGACAAAGAAAGCTTTCTCCCTAGAGCCAAACCATCAATTCAGCTTTCAACCTTATGAATAGCTGAGAAATGAAATTTCTATTCTTGAAAGCTGCCCACTTGTGCTATTTGTTACAGTAGCATAGTCCTTGTTAAGTTTCCTAGAGTCAAAATCCACTCATAACTGACCCTCCAGTGGGTTTTCAGAGGCTATAAATCACATGAGAGGAGAATGTCTGTCTTTCTCCTTTGGAGTATCTAGTGGCTTTGAATCAAGTACCTTTGGCTTGGCAGTGAAAGTCCTTACCCACTAGGCCACCGGAGTTCCCTACAGCAGCAATAGACAATCAAAACAATGCATTTACCCAGAAAAAACTCCTCTGACCTCCTTAAGGGACATGTCCTCAAGATTTTTTTTTCCTTCCAGGCGAGGACCTGGCAAAGCTGTATCTAACGTTCGTCTGACTATGGTATCTCACCCTCTTTACCCCTGAGGCTGTGAATCCTGCATTTCCTAGTTCCCAGGCCTACACGGGACCTGGCTCTGGACATCCCATAGGTGCTCAGAAAATGTTTACTGAGTGTGGATGAGCTGGTGAGTGTAGTCCAAGCAGAAGTTTGAGGTTGAACATATCAATGACTCCTCTGGAAGTGACATTTAGGGAAACTTAAGGGTTTCTGCACAGGCACGGACTAAAAGCTGACTATCCCATGTCTTGTTTTTACCTTGTGTTTATGCAGGGAATGAAACGATACTCACTCCCTTGCATCCCATCCTTTCCCCCCACCCCAACTCCTGTTTCTATTTTTACTTTTAACTTCAGCCAAACCTCAACTTAATCTTCACAGTAAATGCTCCACCCTGTAACAGCTCCTTTCATCTTCCTTCCTCCAGCCTCAAACTGTCACTATGCTCCACAGGTGTGACCACATCTGCTGGTCAGCCTCTGGAAGGTTCGGACATTACACATGGGCTCAGAGTAAGGCAACTGGGGGGCTCTCGGTGAGGAGGAAGCCCGTGTCTAACAACACTGCCTTCTCAGAGAACAGCAGCAACTCCTATGAACTGGGGCTGCATAGTTATGTCACTGACCCGCCAAGACTCGACCAAAGTGTTTTCTGAGTCACACATAGCCAAGAAATTGTGATCGAAAAGAATGCCTGCACTGATGACTCTGATTTGCGTGCGTCCTGGAAAGTTGTTATCCTAGCTTTCTTGTTTTTAATCCTAACTTTCTTCAGGATGTGGAGATGCCTAGAGGTCCCGAGGACGGGTTTGTTCTTACTTAACGGTACGTAGGGCCTTAGCGGGCCTGGGCCTAGGAAGCGCAGATAGCAGGTTCCAGGAGAGCTTCCAGAGCGCAGAAGGCGGACCCGGCAACCTCTCCCCTGCGCCTGCGCACTTCTCCCCGCTCAGCCCCCGCCCCTGCAGCTCTGGTTTTCAAATTTGAAACCTGCTTCTTTTCCCGCCGGAATGTGCTGACCAGCAGAGGGAGGGGGCGGGGCCCCATGTCAACCAATCGGGCCGCCGAGCGTGCCACAGGCCAATGGGCGTGGGCGCGATATAGTCCCGCCCTCTCAGCGCCCACGTGCGGGGGCCGGGCCAGGTCTCGTCGGAGGGCTCGTCGTTTGGCTCTCTCTTGGTCGGGCATTTTATGATCCGCGTAGTCCGGGACACAATCCCTGCGGCCTTCAGTTCCCGGCCTGGGCTCACGAGCGAGATGAGTCCGACTCAGCTTCCCAAGGCCAGAGGTTCGCGGACGGGCTGGGCTCAAAACTGGAAGCTGGACCAGCCGGGACGGCGAGCAGCCTAGCTGCGGGTGAGCGGCGGGCGGGGCGTCCCGGGGGCGGGGCCAGGGCGGGGCGTGCTGGGGGCGGGGCCGGGCCCTGTGTTTGTTGCTCCGTGTCAGTTATATTGTAACAAAAGTGCTGCCGCGCTCCGCCGCCGGCGCCTCTGGCCCGCCCGCTGCCAGCTGTCGCCGACATGGAACCCGTGGCCAGCAACATCCAGGTCCTGCTGCAGGCGGCCGAGTACCTGGAGCGCCGCGAGAGAGGTAAGGAAGAGCCCCAGTCCGGGCTTCGGGCCGGCGGCCTCACTGACATGGGCCTGGATTGGACTTGTCTCCCAACTCGGAAGATGCCTGGCCCGAGCCCTGTCGCCTCAAGGTTCCCCCAGCACTCAGCACGCACCCCAGAGCGATCCGCGAGTGGTCGAGCAGGGAAGGATTGGGAAATGACTCTGACGCCGAAAGCCTGACGCGGGCGGGGGGCTCTCTCTCTGGCAGAGGCTGAGCATGGCTACGCGTCTCTGTGCCCGCACCGCAGTCCAGGCCCTGTCCATCGGAGGAAGAAGCGAACCCACCAAGCCCCTGGCGGGCTGGACATTGGGCGGTGAGGAGAGCGGGGGCGAGGGGGCGGCGGGGCGGGGGATGGGCGCTGCTGGTGCCTCCTCTACCTTTTACTTCCTTTCAATTGCCTCTTAGGGCCAGGTACCTTGCTCTGGGAGGCATTCACTATCCGCACTCGCTAACCTCTTCCTACCATCACTCTCTAAATGAGTATCGTTTCTTTCATTGAAACACTATTTCTTAAGCACCTCTGATGTGCCAGAACTAGAACTGTGAACAGTTTTATGCCCTTGTCCACTCATACTCCTCCATTCCACAAAGCAAATGGCACAGCTGCCTTTGAACATACCATTCCCTCCTATTTTGAATGCGCCTTCCTCTACGCTCCTTGGAAAAGTTGAGGTCAATGCCTATGTCCCTTCTTTCTGCCCAGGAAGCCCCTGATGACCGGGTGGCGGGCGCCTTGTTTGGAACAGGGCTTCTAGGTGATAATTTTGGTTAGACCCACTCCGTTGCTGAGCATGCGCATTTCTACTCTGGATAGTGCGTGCAAATCTAAATTTTAACAAGATCTCTGGGTGATTCTTATAGATTCAAGTGACTCTTAGGTCTACCTGGGGATTTTTAAATAAGATGTTGATTCTGATTTAGTTTGTCTAGCATATGATCAGCAGAGGATCAAACCGGAATGAATGCATCAGAAGCCTTGGACTCCCACAGCTCTAGGGGACAGACCTTTTAGCATTTGGGTACCATTGCTTGGCTCTCCTACCCCTGCCAGAAGCTCTGTGCCTCAGACTTTACTAGGTGGCTAACCTCCTTAATCTTCATTCTGGCCTTGACAGGTCTGTGCACAACGAGCTGGAGAAGCGCAGGTGAGTCCCAGCCCTGAAGCACAAGGCCCTGGAACTGCTTCCTTTGACTACCCCTCCCTTGCCATCCCCATGGCCACAATGAGGGCTGGCACTGCCCTCCAGACCCCTTCTCCTGCAGGAGGGCCCAGTTGAAGAGGTGCTTGGAGCAGCTTAAGCAGCAGATGCCCCTGGGGACGGACTGTGCCCGATATACGACCCTGAGCCTTCTGCGCCGAGCCAGGGTACACATCCAGGTAAGAGCCACCACTATGTCTGGAACTAGCTTGCCAGAATGCCAAGAGGGTTAGATTCAGCAACACAGCCTGAAGTCATAATCCAATTGTGTGCTTCTAGACTTAGTTTTCATACTTGTTAGATAGGCAGTGATGAGGAGGGGTACCAAACCCAAACCAGAAGAGTAAAACCTAGGGTTAAGACACATTTTTAACTAGTAAAGTTGTGTACCGTCTAGTCGGAACCCACCCATAGCTGACCCTCAGGGGGTTTTCAGAGACAGTAAATTGCCCAGAAGGAGATATCCATCCTTCTCCTGCAGAGCAGTGGGTGATTGCATGCTTTTGGTTTTGCAGTGCAGCTTCTTGCCACTAGGCCACTACTACAGTTATTATTATATATGGCATAGATGGTTACTTAGACTCCAGCTGTGAAAGTTTGGCTCTGTCACCTTCTTTGGACTTTCCTGAGAACTAGCCTGGACTGTGGAGGGATGGTCCTTGGCCTTCTCCCAATCTTCAAGCCCTTCTGCTTTGGACAGTCAGTCTTGATGTCACTCTGGGAGGTTGCTCCAGAGATGGGGGTGGGGGTGGGGAGAAGGACAGAGGAATTGTGTCAGTAGTACAGGGTCCTGCTCCTGCCTGGATTTGGCTCAGCGCCCTCTGGTGGACAGGAGCAGGGGTGCTGACTCAGGCTGGAGTCAGCCCTGGAGATGTCAGTTGACAGGCCTGAAATGAAGGCCCAGCAGCCAACACAGCTGATGAGAGGCAGGTCCAGACTCCCTGACTCACGAGCATTCTTTTTCTTCAAATACTTCCTGAGCATATGTTCTGCCAGCTGCTATTCTAGACCACAGGTGTATTGATGGAGGATCCGAGGGGGCCCTTACCACTTAGTGCAAGTTCAGGAGTAGACAAGTGAGGTATGGAATGACATTCCATGGTGCTACAAAATTGAAAGGCAGGCACCTGATGAGGCAGCCAGACAAGAGAGGGGAGGCATTTCTGCTGATGAGTGGTCATCCATCTTGAACTTGTGGAGAAGGGTACAACTTGTGCTTGTCTTGGGTGCTTGTAACCCTTGTTACACCTGTCTTCTAGCATAGAAGTCTCTGACAGTGATCGACATGTCACCAGTGGAAGCCTTTCATATTGTCCCATGGGTGCCTGTTTTCTTCATTGTGGTTGAGTCACACCCTGGCGGGACCTGGGGAAGAGCTAGGAACAGTATCCCACTTTTGCCCCACCCTACTCTGAGTCATAGGTGTTACTAGGCCTTAAATAACAATATAAACCTGGGGAGCTCTGGTGGCCTAGTGGCAAGAAGCTGTACTGCAATCCCAAAGGTACACGGTTTGAATCCACCAGATGCTCTGCCGGAGAAGACTGTTATCAGTCAGATCTGATTTGATGGTACATGCACAAAAAATAATAAAATAAAAAACAAAAACGAGATAAATCTGTGCCAGCTCCTGTTGTAGTGGTCCTTGCTTGCTGGTGCTCTTCAGTGTCCACCATACACCCCTGCTGCCGTTGGTGACACCCCTCCCCCATACACAGCTCATTAGCTCCATCTCCCCCTCCTGGTAGTGCCCTGTTCTGCCCTCCACTTGCTTTTCCCCCAACCCTGACTGCTCTAGGGCTGTGTGTTTCCCTTTTGGTAATTTTTCACAAGGACCATGTGTGGCCTGGTTCTCTGTGGCCCTCGACCAATGGGAGGATCTGGGGACTCATTTATACCTGTTTCCTCTCTAGGCTCGATTCTGGCTTCTCCCTTACCCTAGAATGATCTTTGTAGCACATACATCTGCTCAGAATGTTTGGATAGGACTGTTAATATCCGACTTTTTGGGTAATTCAAAGATCATTCAGATCTTGCCACAGGTTTGCTTTGTTTTTGTCATACTATCCCCACAAAGCAAGCTGGATTATCCACCTGGGTAGTTCTTCCATCTCTCCCTGGCCAGTTCGTGTGTTCATTATTCTCTGTTGAGTTCAAGGGCTCCACTTTGACCCAGTTGTCCCCATCTTTGCTTGCTGAGGGTTCTGCAGAAGTGTGGTACTTGGGCTCATGATGGAGTGGATGAGCCCCTCTGGCCTCCCAGGCCTTGGGATTTCAGGGCAGACTGAGTTGAATGGAGATGTTGAATATTGACAGCTCAGTCAGGAGGACCCTTGGTTTTAGTCCTTGAGGGTTGCACCAAGTTACAAACTGATAACCTTTGGTCTGCAGTTTTCTAAAAATTTGTATCAAGTGGTTTACTTACAGCTTTGACATAGAAAAATTGTTTTCTAGCTTTTTAAAGAAATTGGGAGACCTGGCAGCACTTAGCAAAAGGGCGCCTCCTCGCGCTGAAGCATGCAGTTAGCAGTTCTCCGTTTTCTTCCCCACAGCCTCAGGTCCTATTCCCAAATACTGGAGTACTCTGCCTTTGAGACCACAGTACTACCTACATCCCATCCTCCCATTCCTGATAACATTCACAGGCCACCTAAGCTGTGAAGGGCCTGGCTCCTTGGAGGACATGGGGCTTCTCTGTGGGCCATGGCTTGCTGCTGACAGGTGGTAGGGTGAGGCTCTAGCCCCTTGCTCCTTTGGGCTCCACAGAAGCTGGAGGAACAAGAGCGGCGGGCTCAGCGGCTGAAGGAGAAGCTTCGTAGTAGACAACAGAGCCTACAGCAACAACTGTTGCAGCTTCAGGCACCAGCTGGTTCCAGGGATCGGGAGCGGCTCCGGGCAGATAGCCTAGACTCCTCTGGTCTCTCCTCTGAGCGCTGGGACTCTGACTCAGGTTAGTGCCTTTAGGATGTGGACAGAGGGGCTAGAAGTGTGGCCAGTTCTTCTGATGGAATCTTCTCTATTTAGAGGAACTGGAAGTGGATGTGGAGAGCCTGGTGTTTGGGGGCAAGGCAGAACTCCTGCAGGGCTTCAGTGCTGGCCAGGAACACAGCTACTCACACAGCGATGGTGCCTGGCTATGACCCTTGCTGCTTGAGCAGACCCTGCCCTCCATTCAGGTGGGTTGACCGAGCCAGGCAAGAGTCCTCCTCAGGCCTCAAGGGCTGCTTGGAGTCACCACTTGTAATGGACTAAAAGGACCTGTGTACATAGGTATTCCTTGCCAACCCTGGGCTGGTGACCAGATAGTCCTCAAGGGGAAGGGACACAATAGGACTACCCCTAAACCCTGCAGGGCAGGCAGCCTAGGGCTGGGCCCTGGCATTTTCTGAAGCACTTGGTCTTGCTGCCCTCAGAGGTGGGGGATGGCAGGAAGCCCCTTAGAACCTCACCTTTTCTACCAGGGCAAGGCCCCTTGGCCTGTGCCCCAGTTACTATACAGTATTTTCATTAATAAGGAGCTCTGGTAGCATAGTAGTTAAGCATTTGGCTGCTAAGTGAAAATCAGGGGTTTGAACCCACCAGCAGTTCACAGGAGGAAGATGTGGCAGTTTGCTCCCATTAAAAAAAGACTTCAGCTTTGGAAACTTTATGGGGCAGTTCTGTTCTGTAAGGTTGCTGAGTGGAATCAACCCATTGGCAACAGATTTTATTTTCATTAAAAGTCTGTTTTAACAATTTCCTGTGTCTTTTTATCTGATGAGAATGGGGAATCCCAACCACAGACTAAGCTGGAAAAGCAGAACTAGGAGCTGCTTATCTCAAGACAGGTAGTGTACTTGTCAGACTCAGTTCTTCCCTCTGTTGGGGCTGAGGGGTATAACCTGCCTTGAAGCCCAAACTCAGGAAACAATGGAGTCAAGACTTGAACCAAATCCTGGACTGCAGAGCTGGGACTAACCGAAGTCAAGTTATTTATTGAGTGCCGATTACGTACTAGGTATTATTCCAAATACTTGGGACACATCAGAGAGCAAACAGATCCCTGCCCTCACGGAGCTTACAGTCTAGCATTTCCTACTTCACTTGTACACTGACCCGGGCAAGTCTGTGCCTCTCTGTGCCTCAGCTGCCAAATGGGAGGAATATGCAGAATCAGCACAGACCATGGATGACATGCTTGCTGTTCTGTAGATGCCAAACAAGACCCTTACCCCTTGCCCTAGCCTATCTCTTAGGCAAGAAATAGGGCTGGATGTTGATTTTTAACAGAGCACACTGGGGCTAGGGGGTTGGAGCTGGATTGTCTGCTGTGCGATGGTGGTGGTAAAAGGGTTGTGCAGGGCTGATGATGGCTACACAAATTGTTGCTGCTGCTGCTGCTGTTTCTTGGTGGCTGCCTTGCTGGCTAGGTCCTTGGCCTTCTCTGTAGCTGCCAGTGCTGTCTCTTTTGCCTTTTCCTTGGCTTCCTTGGCAGTTTCAACAAGTGTCTTAGAAGGGGCTTCACCTATACCAAAGGGCCAGGGGCTTGTTTCAGATGACAAGACAACCCACCTTGTCATCCATCCCCTCTCCTCTGGATCAGGTCCCATTAGAAATGGGACAACAGTCTAGTGGTACAAAGGAATCTCAAGCTTGAGAGTAGAACAGAGACCCAGGCTCCATACATGCCAGGATGGAATTAAGACTTGCCCTCCCCACCCCCCAATTTCTCCCTGTGAAGATACCCCCCGCACGGGGCCCAGGACCTCACCTTGTAGCTTGGCCAAGATGTATTCAAAACCCTTCATAGTCTTGGTCACATTGTTTTTAAATCGAGCCAGACCAAATTCCTGACAAAAGATAAGAGAAGTGCTAAGCTACCCACTGACAAGTGTCCCCCCCCCCCTTTTGGGTCAAATAACATGGGTACTGGAGCCCCAGCAGCTCCTACAAGGCTGCTCACCTGGACAGCTCTGGAGACACCAAACAAGCTAGAGGAGACCCAGGCTTCTCGGCGGATTTCGGTCCAACCACTGTTATCAGAGTTCACATAGTAAACACAGCGTTCCTCCACCACCTATGCAGGGAGTCAGGGGAGCTATAATTGTTTCTTTTGCCATCAGGCACACATAATCTTGATCTCGTGCCTCTTTTCTTAAGGGGATACAATTAAAAAAAAATCTGCTTCCTCTTATTGCAGCCCGGAAGAACTGCATTTATGGACAGCAAGATGTGTATACACATAAACCCAAGGGTGGGTGCGTGTGCACACAGGCCATCTTCCATTTTGATACTTGTAACCAGTCAACCTTAAAGGCATATGGGCTCTTGTTTGGGTAGGAGAGGAAGAAGAGGGGTGGAGTTTGGTCTTGCTTTGAAAGTATGATTTTTTTTTTTTATTACAGTGGAAATATACATTAACAAAACATAGACCAACTTAGTAAGGTCTACATGTTAACAATAAGGCCAAGTGCCTTATAGCCCCACCCTAACCCTTTTTTTTTTTTTTTTTCCCCCCTAACCCTTTTAATTTTTTTTTTTTTAGCCTGTCTTCACACACCAAAGTTCTGTTAAACAAAGTGGGGTAGTACTTTCAGGAGAAACAACTGAGGACATTTCTTACTCAGAGGAATGCCCTCTTGATAGTCTTTGGTGACAACTTTAGATAATTTGGAGCAAAGGCACTCAGTGGAGTGTCTGCGCCTTCTGTGACCTTGTAGAATCAAAGCTCCTCTCTCTGAACCTTATTTCCTTCTTTGCACAACAAAGCAATGCCCACTTCCCCCGTTTACTGTAAGGCTTAGCTGAGAATAAGAGTTCTTGGAAAGTTTTTGGGGTACTTACATGTGCAAAGATAATCCTAGAATTTTCCTTAAAATTATGTGCTTTCAAAAATGCTTTCGAGAAAATTTTAAGGCAAGTAAAATATATGTGGAAGTCTGTTCTCTGAAATCTTAGAAATCTATTATATTAATCAAAGTGGGACCAAAAGCTCAAGAGCTTCCCAGGAAGACCCAAGGTACTCTTACGGGGCTCAAAGAACTTTGGTCTTGAAAACCACTGCCTCCATCCGTACCAATTCTATTTGGTCAACACCTATGTGTGTGCCAGGGATAGTGCTGAGTGTTTTGTATGATGTTGTTGTTTTGTTTTGTTTTTTTTTTTAAAAAAAATCCAAAAAAGAAAGGGAGGAAAAAAGCAGTAAAAACCAAACCCTTCTGTATACAGGTACCACTGCCCTTCTCTACAATTAGTATGGGTTAAGAGATCAACTAGCTGAAAAAATAATCTGAAGCTGTACTCATCATCACATTTTAGTAACCGAGACCTGTCTCAGACCAGAAGAGTACCTGAGGAATATTAGGTTTTTTTGGGGAGGCAGCTCACCATCAGCCGGTCATGGTTGATGTTCCAGGTGAAGGTGGTCATGGTCTGATTCTGTGGGTCCACAACAGAGTCCTCCAGGATGTACACCGAGTGAGCAACATTGGCAGGAAACAATCGCTCAGCCCAGCGCGGCATCCTGTTGGTCTTGGTCAGGAGTCTCCGGGACAGGAGTTTCTGGTCAGGGGTAACCTCCCGGTGTACTATGTCTTCCGTCAAGACATGTTTGCTGGAGGTGGCAGAAGGCGACCCTCAGGAGATATCCGCTGGTGCTATTCCCTTTTGCCAGCCTCCTGGCCCAGACGGGCCATGCCTAACTGCAATCTTGCAGAGTAATCTTTGCTGTGGCCCAGACCTGAACTGGAGTTCCAGGAACCTATCCCCAGGTCAAATTCCAACTCCAGCCCCTTCGCTGACCAGGGTTCTGGGGCCTTCCACAAGGGCCAGGCCTCAATATTTATTGCGCCACTGGGAAAAGGGCAATACCAGATTTCTACCCCAATATCTTTCCAACTCCTGTGCCTCCGCCTCTTCTCGTTTCTCTAACGCTAGATTTTAGCCCAAGACTCACATAAGACACCCTCCAGACCCAGCTCTCCTTCCAGAACCGTGAAGGCCTGGCTAGTTCCCGGGTAAAGGTCAGCGTGGCGTAAAGGAAGCCACGCCAGGACCATGTCGAACTCTTCTGGGTTCTCTCATCTGGAGGTCGCCCACTCCTCGATCCCCCAGTAGCGAGGGAAAGGTGGTTTTCCCTAGGTTCACGTACCTGTAGGGATTCGGGTACCGCTGCCAGAAGGCGGCGAACACTTGGTCCCAGGAACTCCTGAGCACGCTCTGGCCCAGGAAATATTTCACCATTGTCCCGGCCGGGAAGGACTCAACACCCGCGAAGCATTAGGAGTGCGGAGCCCGGGGAGGACGTGGAGGCCAGGCCAGAGCTCGGCGCCAGCCGGCCAGGCTCGCTCAATCACCACCGTACCGCGCCCAAGTTTCCGCCGCCATGAGGAGTGGTCAGGAGGTGCTCCACTTCCGGCGCAGACATAGCACTTCCGGCGCTCCTGACATGTGACCTCTGTGGTCCCACCCCCCTCGCTCTCTCCCACGGGAGTCGCGGCGGTACGGGCTGGAGCAATCTCTGTACGGAGCCGGGTTTGGTTGTGAAGCTAAACCTCGGTGGCGCCTCAGTCGGACGGGCGGCGTGCAGCCCCGTTGAGGGCGCTGCCCCGCTTAAAGGCTGCCCGAGGTCTTAATCTCTTCGAAGAAGCTAGGGCCGAAGAGCTAGAACGCCGTCCAGGTGCGAGGCCGCCACAGGAGCTCTAGCCCGTCGCGTTGTTTGAAGAGTTGCAGGTTGGCGCTGGCAGTGGGGATCGGAGGCTTGGGCGCTGGCTGGGCCCAACGGAGATCCGGGTTTGCCTCCTGTTCCTGCCCCGGACCTCGACGTGGGTGAGACGGCCCCGGGAGCATGAGCGGGCAGCGCGTGGACGTGAAGGTGGTTATGCTGGGCAAGGAGTACGTGGGCAAGACGAGCCTGGTGGAGCGATACGTGCACGACCGCTTCCTAGTGGGGCCCTATCAGAATGTGAGTGCATCCATAGGATTGCGCACGGGTGGGAAGGGACTTGCCCGCATTCGTGGCTCTCATTTCTTTTTCCTAACTGCAGACCATAGGGGCAGCTTTCGTGGCCAAGGTGATGTCCGTTGGAGACCGGACAGTGACTTTGGGTATTTGGGTAAGTCCCTTGGCAAAAGATTAATTTCAGAGAAGGCTAGCGTCCTTTTCACCATTGGCTTCCTTAGATCCTCACGCCAATTCTCTGGAACAGTTTCAGTGGAAAATGGGGTCTGGAGAATGTGGTGGTAGTTTTGGGCTAGAGCTGAGCATTCCCCTGCCCTTCAGGACACAGCCGGCTCAGAGCGCTATGAAGCCATGAGCAGAATCTACTATCGGGGTGCCAAGGCTGCAATCGTGTGCTATGGTAAGGGCGGTAGGCGGCAGAGGGAGATGGTGGTTTTTCAGGCAGAAGACAGCGTGGATTTATTAGACACCAGTGTTTGACTTGTGTCTCCTGAACATCCCACCCAAAGACCTCACAGACAGCAGCAGCTTTGAGAGAGCAAAGTTCTGGGTGAAAGAACTACAAAGTCTAGAAGAGGTAGGTGGCCATACCTAGGCAGGGGACCAAGGACTGGGTCTTTAGTGGTTCTTTCCCCTGACCCTTACCTTTCAACCCCAGGGCTGCCAGATCTACCTGTGTGGTACCAAGTGTGACCTGCTAGAGGAAGACCGGCGACGTCGGCGAGTGGACTTCCATGATGTCCAGGACTATGCAGACAGTATTGCTCCTCAGTCCCCAAGAGATGGGGGAGGGAAGTGGATGCTTGGCTACAGTGGCAGATCCCTTAAGTGTTCTGGGCTCTGTAAACCCTAAGGGCCCAGATTTCCTCATTTGTACCCATTTTCTCAGGTATGAAGATTTAGTCACTTTTTTTTTACAGATATCAAAGCTCAGCTCTTTGAGACATCTAGCAAGACTGGCCAGAGTGTGGGTGAGTGTTGCCCTAGGACCTCACAGCAGAACAAGTAGGGGCACTGAGGGAGCACAGAGGGCCTTAAGGGCTGGGTTACTGGGTGATTCCAGGCCTGCTGGCTTTATGCCCTCAGTGATCTTCCCTTTTCCTGCCAGACGAGCTTTTCCAGAAAGTGGCAGAGGATTACGTCAGTGTGGCTGCTTTCCAGGTGATGACAGGTGTGTGCTTCGCTTCCCCAGCCTCTGGGGAGATTTCCTGTAGGCCCCTGGCATGTGAGGTCTTTTATAAGTTACCTGATTCCTCCAGCAGAATAGTGCTGAACTGCCATCTCTCACTTTGACAGAGGACAAGGGTGTGGATCTAGGCCAGAAGGCAAACCCCTACTTCTACAGCTGTTGTCATCACTGAGTCATCGCCCATTTGGGCTGGGGAAAACTAAACTCCGGAGAGACTGGACCCAGCTCTTGTCTGGGCTTGGGTGGTCAGATGTCTGAGCTGCCCTAGGTCTCCATGGCATCAGAGGTGGTACCTGCCTGTGCTGGCCCATGGAACGGAGGCAGTAATGGGCTGAAAGAAATGAGGAGGGCTGATTTGAACCCCAGGTTTCTGCCCGGGACACCCTGTGCATCTTCAGGTTATTTAAGTGGCTTGTGATTTGTAAATAAAATCAGTGCACTGTGAAATCATGGTTCAGCCCCTTTCCCTGCTGTGTAAACATCAAGACACCTAGTTCTTTCTGGGACCACTTGGCCGGTGTCACTTACCAAGTTAAACTTCCTCCAGTCTTTTCTTTGAAAACAAAGCATTTTCCCATCAAGGTTGTGTTTTGTTTCTTAGAGGGGCAAATACAGGGTGATATGCCAGCTGAGACAGAGTTTACTCCTGCTGCTAGGTGCTCAGAGAAGCAAGGAATGCACTTAGTTTTATTTATAGGGGTTAAAAAAAAAGTTGAGCAGTTCTACCAAAGACAGGTTGGACTGGCTGGCTGTACTGTATTTGTCATGTCTAGACCTGTCATAGATTTTGCAAGACAGAAATGTCTGAAGGATCTAGATTCTAATTTATGTAAAAAAATGCACCTAAACATCTGTAGCAATAAATGCTACACTCCTTTAGAGTTTTTTCCCCCTGAAAGACAATTAGTCAGAAAGGGTCAACCCCCCCCCCCCCATAATTCCGAAGGCATATTTTGGGGACTTGGAAGCATAAGCATTTCTGAAGGAACAAGTGTTAGTGTAAACATGGCTGAAGTTTCTTGTTACAATTAAAAGGAAATGTATTAGGGAGCTCTGGTGGCCCAGTGGCAAGAAGCTGCACTGCAATCCCAGAGGTACATGGCTCGAATGCACCAGATGCTCTGCTGGAGAAGGAGGGGAATCTCCTCTGGTACCAGTCAGATCCAATTTGACAGTACACACACACAAAATAATAACAAAAGGAAATGTATTACAGTCCTTCCCATTATTGAAGATGTAGTCCACAGCAGGACCTCATACAAGTCACTGTTGTCTACTTTCTTGTACTGAGGGCTGGGCTGAGTCTTCTACAATGAACAAAAAAACTTGAAGATGGTGAGGTTCTTGCTCAAAGTCCTTTGGTTTCACTTCCCTTTTCAAAACCAATTCCTTAAAATACTCTTCCTTTAAGGGTGATGAAGGCTTCCTGTGAAGAGCAAAAACTGACACCAGCCACTCCCAAGCAGATAGAAAAAGGCCCTATGGCATTTCTGAGGGGAGTCACGCAGCATACTATCTCACCTCTGGAGGAAGTGCTCTACCCACCTAACTGGGGTTGGTTTCTGCTCTCACCCCAACCCCAGTCCACCCTCCTATTGGACTATGTTCCCCATGAACAAGAAAAATAAAACACAGGGCAAGGGCCATAAGAGTAAAGTTAAACTTTACTTTACAGTAATTTTTTCTATATACAAAGAATTACAGTACATGTTTATGGGGACTCCTAGCACAGGGCTCCCCTCTTTTCACTAGGAGTTTCACTTACTGCTGACAATCTATGAGGGGTGGGGGGGGGAAGCCAACCAAAAAACCAAAGCCACAAAACCAGTGATGGATCTTGGCTATTCCCTCCCTCCACCCTTTCTTAAAAATATAAAGACAAATCTCTATTGTCAGCTTGTCCTTTGCCAAGACCTAGAAAGCTGCTCTTCCATGAGCTCCTGTGTGCTGTACTCACCCATATTCAGCACTCTCAACTACACGCACACATAAGCAGCACCTCAGACCTGGGCCCGACCCTTGAAGTCTACAGAACCAGAGCCCTTGGTTTCCACTCCTCCCTGTGCTCACCTATCTTCAAAGCTCTGCTTGGTTCCCAGCTGTTACTTTTAAAGACCCGAGAGCCTGATATTTTCAGTTTTGAGAAAGCAACTGTAGTAAAGGGACCACATGTGCTGAAGACCTGTTTTTGTGGGCAACATTTCTTCCCAGGTTGTGGATTTCTAATTAAACTCTTTCCGTTCTCTTAATCTTCATAAGCAACAGAGGTGCTCCCATGAATGGTAGAGAAGAAATGGGGCAGCAGATAACCAAAGCTCTTGCCCCACAGTTCTCTACCATCATGTTCGAAGCAGTGTAGATGGACATGGTGACTCTGACGATCCCAGGAATTTGATGGCTACTCATGTGAAATTGGGCTCTCAGCCACGTCTGTGTTCTGCTGGGTCATTCCAGGACTGGGTGCAGGCTTCCACTATTAACAATGAACCTCCAAAAGAGCTTCCATTCTATGAAAAACCTCTTAACTCTCAAATAGGACCCCAGATTTCTGAAGTAGCCTGTCCCTCATCCCTTGGCAGTGCTTATTTATATCAGGAAATTAGCACCATTACGCGTTTTGTGTGTGTGTACAAAGCAATTTTCTAATTTCAGTTGATACTACTGCAATCTCTAGCCCTGTTGCACTGGCCCTTGGAAGCTCAGCTGAGCATTAACTGGCCACAGCCAATGAGAGTCTCCTGCAGCAGCTACCTAGCTCTAATGATCTGGAATGTCTTAACACAAGGAGCAGCTCATCTGCTACTTGGCAAGAAAAGAAGCTTAAGAGAGCTCCTTTTCTGCCATGATCTCGAGGTTAGGACACTAGGCCACCTCTAACAATTCCCAAGAGGATGACAATATTCCAACAAAAGACAGAAAAATCTGCTTTATAGCCGCCTAGTGCAGGTGCAGTAGTTTTTATATTAAACACCACAGAGGAAAAGTGTCCAGATCAGACTTCATTTCTACCCTCTCTTTCAAAAAGGCAAAATATAACCTGGAAATCTAGTTCCAATAACAGATATGCTGAGGCTGGGAGAGGATATCCAAGGCATTCCATGTCCTGATCCTTTTGAGGGAGTAGGAGTACTGGAGAATGCGAAGGGTAAAACATACCTGAAGCAATGCTCAAGATGTGGGTATGATTGTAGAAGATCATCTATAGATTTGAATGACCTCAAACTTAGTAATTTCAGGGAAAGTAATTTTTTTTTAAAAAAAGTCACTTTTGTAACAATGATAGCTAGCTTACCACTAGAATGAGTTAATTCCACTAGGAGAAGCCAAGGGGCGCTGAATAAAAATTTCAAGTTTTTTGTAACTTTTTTCCTGACCTATCAGGGCTGGGAGAAGCATTCATGGTACCTCTGGAGCATTTCCATCTTAGTTCCCCCTTTGAAAAATCTCCTTGGGGAGCTGTCTCAGAGGCAGACTTCGAGATCGCATGATTTTTACATACTTGCATGGCAGAAATTCCTAAAGAACTTACTTTCATTGCCAGTCCACAACCACTTGGAGGACAGGTCTTATTATAAGCTTCTAAGGGAATCCCCAAAGACTAGCTAGGTCATTGCCTTCGACATCTTCATACAAGGGTTCAATTTCCCAAGACTTGTCCTAACTTTGTTATTTTTATAGAATTTTTTTCATGATCTTAACAATCTAGGATCAAGTGCTACTATCAGTGGGGCTGATAATTGACCTTTTCACTTCCTGTTCAATAACCTGAGTCTTTCATTGGCCCTGGATGAAAGCCTAGTTATCTCATTTAGAGAAGAGAATGTCCCCAAAGTCCATCTTGCTCAGATGTTTTCCCAGGTAGGTCTGGAATGAAGTCTGCAGTGAAGGGTGAACAGTGGAAAAGAAAAACAAAACCACAAAAGTGGCCAGTCATGGCCCCACCTTTACCCTCAATCATCTTTCTGTCCTATGAGACTTTCCAGACTGGTTGGCTGTCAAGTACAAACCGAAACCAATGTCAGAGAAGTCTCTTCAGGGTAAAACTTCTCCATCAAAAAAGTTTACAAAGCCTGCACCCTCCCCCCCAAAAAATCACAGTTTATTTCATGAAACAAAGAGTTACGGTAATTTAACACACAACATAGTGGAAGGAGATTCTGACAGTGCAGTGCAGATTATCTTGTTCTGATCACAACTACAGATGGCAGGAGAGAAAGGGCACAGGACTGGCACCAAACAAACCCTACTCATATAACCTAAGAGATTAGGAAAAGGGATCTACTAGCTGAAGTTATATACTTATTATTCTCACACATGATAAATACTTAATATAGTGAACTTTAATGTTCTGGGTGGATTTCTTTAAAAAATATCTTTTTCATGGTTTAAAATTCTTTTAAAAGAAAATAAGATGCTTTATGCATTCTCTTCCTTTTGAATAAAGAGCTTTTCCCTCTCTCATAGCGTGGGAAGAGAGAATGAAAGGGGAGAACTAGGCAAGTGGGAATTCACAGAGGTGATTCCGAGGTCTAAATGAGACATAGGGACAGGCTTCAAAAATTGGGACAGCCCTACCCTGCCTCATCCTTCTGCCTGAGTTCAAATGTCTCATCCCCAGAGACAGACTTTGGGAAAGAAAAGCAGATTCTTTTAAAAATCTTTATATAAAGCGCAAATGCTTCTATAACTATTCCCTCCTTGGAAGTGAGGGAAATAACCTCAATTAGAACTTAGGATGAGGGAACTGGGACAAAATACAGAATCCTATTGAGGGTGCTAATAGCCATAATTGAGACAGAAGATGTTTGGGCCAGGAGATGGCCTGTTGGCTAAAGGTGCTGGCTAAGTTGGCAAAGCAGAGAGGTAAACATGTTTGGTCTAGGGACAAAGGAAGGAAACTTGGGTAAGTGGAAGGAAACTGACCAAACAGCACTTTCTGTTGGCAGTCAGTGAGCTGGGTGAATGACAGGGCAGGGTAGCACCAACAGATTCCCAGCCCAGATTCCCAGCTCAGGGCAGCAGTAACAGATCATCAGCAGTTATGAAAAGCCATCTCTTAGACTGGACACTGTTCTGAATATCACAGAGCCAGTTTTCCCAGTCTTAGGGAAATGGTTCTGGCTTGGCTTTGATTGAGCTAAGTCAGCAGGTGCATGCTCTCAATTGAGCACAAGTGGGATGGTGAGAACGAGGACACCTTCCCCTTAGTTAAGAGAGCAAAGGATTGGGGAAAGCAAATTAACTTCCCATCAGGATATGACAATCTCTGATGCTGACGTGTCTAGTCCAGAGACTGCACAAGTTCCCTATGTCCACTGCCCAAGACTCCTAAATGTGAAAGCACCTGGGTGTTTGGAGCACAAGGATGGGATGTCACGTAAAAGATAAATCAGTAGAAAAGAAATATAAGCTTGCCAATTGCCTTGTTCCACTACTGGTAAGCTTCAATCTCACAGAGCCCAGTTCCTGCTAACCAGATGCTAACCCAAGATCTAGCTTCAGACTCTGCACAGCTGAGACCAAATCAGCAGCTGCTGAAATTAGCCTCAATGCAGCACCCTCTTGTCCAGGGACCTCTGTGGACGTGCATGCTTGTACACACCCTTATGCACACCTCAACTAGTAGACACTCAACACAATCACTCCTCTAGCCAAAATGTTTTTAAAATGAGTCTGGAACCACAGGTCCCTTCAGCACTCCTTATTTGTCCCTTCTTGGTCAAAGAGTCTTGACAGGTAGACACCCAGACAGAAATGTCAGGCTCAAAACAATTAGGCCTTATTTATTTCTGTGCGACGGACTAGCACTGGTCCAGCACATATGAGCCACTTATTTGGATGTTCCTCTTAAGGTTCATCAGGTGCCCCCAATAGGGTTCTGCTAGGTTAGGGAAACAGCTTTTTGAGCCCCTCTACCTTCCAACCTGACCAGCGGACTTGAATTCCATGCTTGACTCCAGAGTGGACTTTATTTCAAGTTTACCATATGTTAAGATTGTGGGAAAGAGACCCAAATCTGTCTGTCCCTGTGAATGGGGCCCACTTGGATTTCCGTACATGGTTTATATAACCATTAAGCCCCTGCTGACTAATGTCTCAAGAGTTTCTGAGTGTTGAGATACAAGAAAGGAATAACAGTGGAAAAGTGTTGCTGTATATCAGGTTTTCACAGGGGAAAAGAAAAGATTTTCCCTCCCCAAATACCCTGGGGGTAGTTTGGCTGTGTGATAATTCTAGTATTATTTCTGTTCTGACTCTGAACATTTGTGATTGGAAGGAGCCTGATTAAGAGCTGGCACTGTATTTTGCTCTGGTTTAGGGTCTTGCCCTCTTCCAAGAGACCAGCAAGTCTGTGCCAGTGTTTGTGTGTTGCCAGAGGACCAGCATGATGATGACAATGTCTGTCCAGTCATTATGGGCCAGAGCCCTGGCCCCAGGGAGGACTTTCCCAGGGCCCAGGGACTCTGCTCTGTCATGGCCAACTTCTTCTCCTCAGAAGGGAGTGAGGTTGGGGCATTCCCAAGAGGTCTGAAGGACTGCCCACTCAGTGTTGTCCCTTTGGCAGCAAGTCCGGGTAGTTGCTGAACTCCAGCTATCTGTTTCACAAGGCCTGGGGCTTGGCTGGCAAGCCCTGGGGTCTGCTCAGGCTCTGCAGGTGCTCTTGATGAGGCCTGAACTGCTGGCTCATATAAAAAAGCCTTTGCAGGGGGTTGAGAAAGATGTCTGGCTTGGGAAAGTGATTTAACAGCTTGCCAGGGATGCTTTGAAGGGGTTGTTGCTTTCCCAGGTGGTGTAAGGACAGGGTCTGACACACTACCTCTGTCACCAGTTCGAGGCATCTGCCCCAGACCTCTGCTGGCATGCCATGAGCTAGACTCCAACACTGGCATCTTCTCATCAGCCTGTGGTGTGCCTTCATTGGGAGAAGGTGCCCGCTCCTTTTGACGAGGAGTTAAGTCTATGAGATCCATAACCAAAGCAGCTCTATTTTTCGACTGAGTGTTCTGGTCCACAGGCCTCAGTGCTTTTTCTTTAGCTACCAGGGTCTGGACCACAGCTGACAGCACTTTCTCGGGAGGTGGGAGTCTCTGGGACAACGAGGTATGGGATTTGTCAGGGAGCCTGTCTAAAGTCTGGGGCTTAGGACCACTGGTGATTAGAAGTCTGTCTGGTGTTGGGAGTCTCGAGCTAGTGGAGACTGGGGCTTTCTCCAATGGTTGAGGTCTTGGGCTGGCAGCACCTATGGATTTATCCAGCCTTGAGCTAGCCGTCCCCAGAGGTCTTTCCAGTTGTTGAGACCTGACTGAAGGTGATGAACTTGGGCTGGTCACTGGAGAGGATTTGTCACAGAGGGGGGGTCTTGGTCCCGCTATTTCAGGAGGCTTATCCACTGGCTTCTGACAGGACTCCAAGGATTGGGGTTTGGTCCCTGGCCCAGGAAGGTTCCTGACGCGATCTAAAGGCTGAGGCCTAGAGTCAGTTCTCTCAAGAGGTTTTTCAGGCGGTGACTGCTTCTGACAAGTTCCTGCTACAGCTTTTTTGGATAGTGACAATGTCTGGTTGGTGTCTGCAGGTGGCTTTTCAGACATCTTGGGACCCTGAGCAGCCGTTCCTGATGATTGCTCTGCCTGGTGAGAGCCTGGGCCTGGAGGCAGCGATACTGGAGGAGGCACATACTCACGGATCTCCCCAGGTTCCAGGGGGTTGGGCCCACAGGGATCATGCTCAGTACAAGACAGACGTCCATCTAGTTTGGATATAAAGAGCATTCCTTCCCGATGTTGCTTGCAAAAGGAGCTGGGGCACATTTCACAGAAGGAGGCTGCTTCCTTCCCACAGATGTCACACTGATGCCAAGGACACTCCCATTTCCCTGAAAGGAGTAAAACAGAAGCTTAGCAAAACAGGGGGGGAAACCAAACAAAAACCCCATCAAATTGTAGGAGATAAGCATGACTACTTGAGTGATTTTAAAGGTCTTTTAAACCATTGCCGCCTTCACAGTATTTATGCCACATACCTGATGGCCCTAGACTCTGTTTCCATTTTTGGCATCAGTAATACAAAGATAGTAATGAAGCGTCAAATAGCAACTAAGTATCAATTAAACATGAGTGATGACTAAACTATATTTTTATGACTATTATAAACAAAGGGGATGGAAAGAGGTATCTGCTTTAACATTATTTTAATATTTTTACAAACACTGCTCTCTTATTCAGCTTTTAGTTAATTTACACCCTGCTTATTGACAGGGACAGGAAAGAGATATATAAGTCCAAAAAACCCCCCAAAACATAATCCAAGTGTAGTTGTTCTCACTCAATTTAAAAACTAGCCTAAGATCTACCTGTACTATTCAGACACCAGAATACTGGACAAGACCCAAAGCTAATCTGGGCTGGTATTAACTCTCCCCTATTTCACAAACCTGAGTGTTTCTGCTGTTGACCGTGCCTCTGCCCCCAATTCCCTACAAATGATCTTGGGTAGACGGCTATGGCTTACAGGCAGGATCAGTTCCATCATGAGTCTGTGATAGCAATGCCTTTGATTAAGTAAGTAAGTGATTTCCCATTTCACTTTGTGGCACTAACAGGTCAATGCTATGGCCTTGCTCTTCTATGACTTCATTTTGTTACTCTGGCATGGACACTAAGGAAAAATCAATTCAGGGACAAACTCCTCTTACTCCAACCCCAACCGTCTTCTGTCTTTAAAAATACCCAAATCCTTAAAATTCTCTAACTCTTAAACTTCATGGTTACTGACTTCTATACCACACATATTCACCACATTTAAATGCCAGCAGCTATCTCAGTTGTGAATGAATACAATCACACATCCTTGAGAGGAGGGGAAAACCCCACTTTACAAGGGAAGAGAGCTCAGGATACTAATGGAGTGTAAATACTCCATATTTATAACACTCCAGCTCTCACTGGAAGGTCCAGCAACAACATAGCTCCCTTGTGTCCCACTTTATTTCTCCAGAAAGGCATGCAGTCAGAAAATGGATTTTTAATCTATTGCCTCCAACTGTCTACGCTAATATGACAAAAGAGTCATCTCACCAGTCTTGACCTTTCAGTGTTCTCATCTGCATCATAAGAAGATTCACCTTGATGGATTGCTGCGGATGGAATGATATAAATGTAGCTGGCACACGCAGTGAATTTCTGTCCCCTTTTCTAGAACTTAGGATTTTAAACCTTTCTTGGGATTTATTTCCAGAATGAGAGCACAGATTCAGACTCCTTCAACATTAAGCATATCAAGCCCAATAGACACTTTTCCCCCATATGAAGGCACAGGCAGGAGGCTTTAAGAATTCTTACAGAAAACAAGAAGCATGTGAAGAATCCTGGTACCAACCTGCTGGGCGCTTGGTTAGATTGAGACAGTCTGCATGATAGACTTTTGGGCAGCCTGGTTTCTTGCAAGAGACAAGCTGCCCAGCATCCCCACAACTGAAGCACTCATCTTCTCTCTCCTTTGTGACTTCACCCTGGGTCCTGCGTTTCCCCTGTTGCTTCTTCTTGAATTTCTTTGACTTCTCCTCTGTGGCAATGGGCTGATTCTAGAAGGCAAATAGTGAGCAGTTGGCATTTTTATAAACATATCAGTTTCACCAGCCAACTATCTTCTGTCTCTAGAAAGACAGTTCTTTTTCTTTTTTTAAAAAATTTATTATTTTGTGTGTGTGTACCGTCAAATTGAGTCTGACTGGTACTGGAGGAGATGGTCCCTCCTTCTCACCAGACCGTCTGCTGGATTTGAACTGCACACCTCTGGGATTGCAGTGCAGCTTCTTGCCACTAGGCCACCAGAGCTCCCCTAGAAAGACAGTTCTTATGGGACAATTGTAAAGATAAAGAGAAAAAACTGACAAGGCACCTGGCACGTTACCAATACCAATACCCAGTAGGGTTAATTGCCACTTTAATAGCAACTGCTTCTACCAGCTGAACAACAATAACAAAAAACAGTGCCTTTTTCTATTGAAATAATGGCTGGTGTTAAAGTTAATCTTTTCATAAATTTTATTCTTAAGATTGTCTACTTCAAAGCAAATGAAGATCTAAGGTGTGGGTATGTGCACATTTCTTAGTTTATTCAACAAATTGTTTCTGAAACTTACTATGATTCATTTGCTGAGAAGACCAGGAAACAGATTCACAGACTTTACCCTCAACAATGCTATGCAGTATTATCTAAGTAAAATTAATGTTCACCATTCCCTAAGACAGATCCAGGTGAAACCAGCAAGTTTTCTCCATGTTTTGTGCAGCCCACTCTTCATGTTGCTGTGTACTGAGAAGTTGGAACCAACTCATAGCTGATGCTCCTGCAGGTATAGGGAAGCTATAAATGGCACAGAAAGACACTGTCCAACTGTCTCCCAAGGGAGCAGGTGGTAGATTTGAACCTCATGTCTTCTGGCTGGCAGTACAATTCCAGTAAGCCAAAAGAGGTCCTTAGGTCCATTCTTAGTCATCAAATATTTTAACTTTCATCACATTATTCCTCCTACCCTAGAAAGATCCAGAACTAATTGTCATGGTTGATTTAAGTTTCCTCTATTCTAAGAGGCCAATGTATTAAGTTCATTTAACAAGCAAACAAAAAAATGAAACAAAACCTAAGAAAATATGATTAAAGAACACAGATGGGTAATTAATTCAAGTACTTCATCTCCATATTCAATCAGTATGGTAACATTGATTATTCAAAAATGACGTAATTGCTAAAAATAATGAACAAGGCCAATAGTGAAGGAAGTAAATAGATTCCTATTTTCATTGTTCTCAACTTTCTTTTTGCTTAAACTATATTACCAATTGAAGTAAAATTATGAAAAAAGACCCAATGATCTTTACTTATGTAACCACACTGATCCCCAGAACACCTGACAACCACCCTTTAACACCTATTCACTGTTATTATTTCAAAGAGACAACTTCTGAAACGGAAGCTCCAGCTCGGACGGGTGAGGAGGGAAGCAGCCTCGGTGCTAGGCGAGCAGGACAGTACCTTTGGTCTCACCCCGAGGAAGCCACTGCAGTTTGGGGCTCCACATTTGCAAACGGTCTTTCCATTCCCAAGACATTCCAGGTTGTAGTTGAAGGTAAGTTCTGTGCCTGCATAAAAATAAGAAAATATTAATACTGTGGCTTTAATTACATTTAAAAAAAACCAATCTGTTAAGTATTAGGTAAAAAAGACCCAAACAAAAAAAAAAAACCAAAAACCAATCTGGAAGTATATGATCAAGAGAACAGACAAAATGAAAATAGATTCTAATAAATCTGCAATAATAAATTCTAATCTTAAAAAATGATAAATCAGTTATACAACTTAGTTACACAAACATAGGAATGACTTAACAAGTAGTGCTGGATATCACTTTTACTACAGAGGCGCTGGATGGCTGCTGCACATTCCATAGGAAGCTGCACTGCTTAACCCAAAGGCGCTGCTTGGTTATGGTTATGATCGACTACAGCTCCTTGGGAGAAAGATGAGAAATCTCTTTCCTTGTCATTTGATTCCAACTTGACAACAATGAGATTCTTTCTAAATGGAGGTGTTAATCACCAAATTATTTATTGTTTTTTAAAAGCCCAGAGTCAAAATATATTAATTCATTACAAAAATAAAAAGTGTAACAATATATTGTTCATCAAGTAGCAAGGCTTTAGCTTGCAAGTAGAAAAACCGTCAGTCTGGCCAAGGTGAACTTATCTTCCTTGGCAAACTCACACAAAAGGCATCTCAGTAGAGAGGTAAATAGATCCTCTGGATTAGATGTCAGTCTAGTTTTACTTCCGAAATTACGCTGCAAATTAGCTGGGTGATCCTGGTCTGGATATCTAACATCCCTGAGGCTTGAGAAGCTCATTTTTAAAATAGAGAAATAAACATCTATGCTATGGATCTTACAAACTTATTAAGACAATATGCCATAATGCACACTCCCTAAAGGGTAAAAAGAGATGCACAGATTAGGTAAAAAAATGTCTTTTTTCTGTCAAAGGTCTATGTATCAACATGGTAAGAACAAATAAAGAATACAAAATGGACACAGGAAAGGAAAAGCTTGAAAGGTTCAAGCATGTTACCTTATGTGTATAGAGAGGTTGTTGGTGGAGAATACTGACTTAATAATGAAGTGTCAAATTTTAAGAGGATTTCCTAGAGCCTCCTCCACTGCAGGTATATATAACTTTTATCAACGAGACTAACCAAATAATTTTCTTAATTCAGAGAAGGAAAATATAAAGCAGCTGGGTAATATTTAAAGGTGGTTCATGCTGTATGAATAGTACAATTGTTTGTGGTGTTGCAGAAAGGCTTACACTGTGGGGCACTTATAGGAAAACTAAAGAAGAAAACTGTGGGCCATAGCTCCTATCTCTTGTTTACTGTAAACTGTATGAAGTAAATGGTGGTTAACTTTGTGTTCAACTCTAGATTCTTCTCTAATAAAATTATTTTCTGAGAAATTGGACTCTTGTGAATTTTATGTACCTAAAATGCAATTCCACTGAATACACAAGTAGATAGTATATTTAACGTAATTTATGGATCACTGACCATCTACTATGTAAAGAAAACACACAGAGGAACCTCAACACCAATAAGGAAGAGGAGACAGAGATTCCTGTACCAGCCAAACCAAGATCTACAAAGTAACAACAAGAACCTCAGCAAAGAATGAAAGACAAATCTAAAATAGAGCTGACTTGGGACTGCTGCCCCTTGGAGCCAAAGCCAGAGGCCTTCATCCATGTGTGCTGGAGGACTGTGGAAGTTTCCGTAACTGGTAGGACTAAGGGAACTTTGTAACACTGAGCTAAGCCATGAAGCTGATGGCCAAAGGGCCTGTGACTTTACTTGATAAGTTGTCTGGACTGACGGATTGTATCCTGCTGCCAACCTAAATTATAGCCCATTAATTTCCCTAATAAACTCCACAACTGTCAAGAAAAAAAACCTCCCCTATTCCATCTCCCAAAAACCGAGAAAAATATATAGGGTAAAATAAGGAGGCATTTTTGCCGCTTTAGATTGAGGGTGGCAAAGGGCACTGGGAAAAAAATTAACAAGGAGTGAATATGGCACACAGGAAGCTGGATATGTAAGAACAACAAAGCGAAAGCCTCAGCTCCGATAGGCACTCTGGTTGGACTTAGCACTCCTCTCATTTCCCCAATCCCACCAAAACAAAGTGAAAATCAGTGAGGACAGGAACGAGGTCTGATATTCCCAATAATCAGGGTGAGCCTGAGAGAAGGAGAGAAATTTGTGCCTCGATATAGGTGAGTAATGACAACCCTCAACACACTACCAATGAAGTAAGTGTGGCCTTGATACTGGCTGGGAAACAAATAAGAACTGAAGTTCTATAAACAAGAAACACAAAAATAATCAGGAACAGAGGATCATTACCAAATGAGAAGAAAGAGCAAACTAGAAATCTATAGTCCTCAATCTTCTACAGCAAGCATTTCAAGTCAACTTTCAGCAAGCAAGGTTGTGTCATCTGCATAACACGTGGTTGATCAATCTTTCTCTGACTCTAATGCCATATTTTTCTTCTTAATGTTTACCTTCTCTAATGATTTGCTCAGTATACAGATTAAATAGGTATGGAGAAAGGGCCCTGACATACATCTTCCTTAATTTTCAATCATGCAGTGTTCCCTTGCTCAGTTCAGATAACAGCTTCTTGGTCTAGGCATGGGTTTCATATGAGCACAATTAGGTGTTCTGGGATTCCTATTCCTTTCAATATTGGCCATAATCTGTTATGACTCACATCAATCTTTGTGTAATTAATAAAGCACAAAATAAGGCATTCTTCTGCTGTTCAATGCTCAGCCATGAGCCATTTGACATCAGCAATAATATTCTTGAAAAGTCTATGAACCATAGGGGAACACAGGAAGCTATAGTAGAGAGGTGTGGGAGTGAGAGTAATTATTTTATCTTGATTAGGCACAGGACCAGGGAGCTCTGGTGGCCTAGTGGTAAGAAGTCACCCTGATAACCCAAAAGCATAGGGTTAAAATCCAGAGGAGAAAGATGGATGATTTCTGTCAAGCCATTTACAAACTCTGAAAACCAACTGAAGGATCATCTATGAGTTGGTTCCAACTTGAAGGTCCATAAAAACAAGAAGGAGATCAGATAATATTTTATTCTATTATACGCAAGGTTGTCATGAGTTAAAAGAGTTGACTCCACGGAAAATAGCAATTTGGTGAAATCAACAACACTAGGTGAGGAACATAAATTTTCTTTCAAAAAGCTCATGTCTTTACAACCAGGAGAAGATAAAATAGATGAATGGGAACTTCTAAGAATAAAATCCCTATGGCACATCCAAAATCTTCTCCAACGGGGTAAAAAGGGAAGCCACAGACTGGGAAAAAGTGTTTGGTAATGACATGTCAGATAAGGGACTTATATCTAGAATTTATAAAATACTTGAGCACCACAACAAGATAAAGGTAAATAATCCAATAGAAAAATGGGCACAGGATACGAATAGACACTTCACCAAAGAAGACATTCAGATGGCCAACAAGCACATGAAGAAATGTTCAAAATGCCTAGCTCTAAGAGAGATGCAAATCAAAACAACTATGAGATATCATCTCACCCCAGTCAGAATAGCAAAATTTAACAGAACAGCAAGCAACAAATGCTGGCGAAGCTGTGGAGGAACTGGAACCCTTATTCACTGTTGGTGGGAATGTAAAATGGTGCAACCACTGTGGAAGGCGGTATGGCACTTTCTCAAAAAGTTGCAAATAGAGATACCATTTGACCCAGCAATTCCACCACTGGGAATATATCCCAAAGAGACCATAACTGACATCCAAACAGATATATGCACACCCATGTTTATCGCAGCTCTGTTCACAATAGCAAGGAGTTGGAAACAACCCAGGTGCCCATCAACAAACGGTTGAATGGGTAGAGAAGCTGTGGTATAATCACACAATGGAATACTACGCTGCATTGAAAAACAAGGAACTCATTCAATATTATTCAAAATGGGTGAGCTTGGAGGACATTATGCTGAGTGAAAGATCTCAGTAGCAAAAGGACAAATATTGCATGGTGCCACTGCTGTAAAATGGGACTGATATCAGGGTGGGGGTAAGACTGAGAAAAACTGGATAAATTGGGTATACTACACTGAAACAGATGAGGGACTGAAAAATTTAAAAGCGATGTATGATAGGGTATTATGGTTATCACAAGAGTCCACAATTAAGGTTGCACAGTGGAATGTACTTGGGGCAGTGGGAGGGGTGCGGGGGGATTGTGTACCAGGGAGGGAGCCTTTCTTTTACTTTTGAAAGAGAGGAGCGAACTGGGGGGCGGGGGGAGAGGGCTGGGTGGGGAAAGAAGTGCAGCAATGAATGAATGAAAATCCAAATTCTCTGTAAATGTTCATTAAAATTATTAAAAAAAAAAAAGCTCATGTCAGATTTTCAACATAACTGGAATTGGCCCTTCTCAATTGATTGTAAGATAGTGATCTTCAAAAGTTTTCCTAATGCCAAAATGAAATTCACTTTGAAAAATTGTAAGCTTTCTTTGTACATGTCAAAATTACCAAACTTTAGAAAAGGCTAAATATTCTGAAGATCACGTAAGTTCTCATTGCTTTCAAGTTAGAGTCAACTCATAAGTAAATGGAAAGAAACTGTCCATTCCTCTCCCTCAGAGTAACTAATGGATTTGAACCTTCACAGAAGTGCTGTGTTTGAGTTAGCACAACTCCCTATGCACTAAGCTATATATATATATACATATATATACATATATATATACACACACACACACACATATATAATTGAAATATTCATAAAAATATTAAAATTACATTGTTAGCCCTTTAAATATGTGAAAAACCAACTTTCTGTCTGTTAAAACAACATAATCACATCAGATTTGAATTCAAATAACATCTTAACACTTGTCCTACTTTCACAACTACATTCTAAGAGAAAAGGACAAGCCACGACATTATCTGGCAAATATCACCAGGAAGGACTTTCTACACACAAGACTGCATTCTTCATCTTGGATTATTAGACATATATGATTTTTAGATGACAAAACTTGAAACTCAGTTTTATTCAGCTATAGATTGTGCACAACATTGCTAGTTGGGTCTTACCTGCTTTGATATCACTCAAAGCAAAAAGGCCAACCCGAGTATCTCCATTCACAGACCACTTCTGTGTTTCACAGTTGGGCTGGCAGCAATGATTCATGAACCGAGCATAGTTTCCTTTGGGACCAGCATCTATGATCCGGTCCTAGAATCCCAAGAGATGTTTCCGTTATTATTGATTGAAATAAAGACAATACACAACAATAAGCTAGAGATTTTATTTGTTAAGTTTGAATGTCCTAGAGAAGTAGTTCTCCAAGATGACCACTAGAACAATATAGAAGCTCACCAAAGGATTCTGATGTATGCTAAATACTAAGAAGTACAGAATCAATAGAATATTCCCATCCACTAAGTTGGCAGCTCTGAATATTGGCTGTACATTAGTTATTACGTAGGGAAACATAAATACGAGGCCATGTCTATGTATACCAAGTAAACCAGAATACCAGAAAGTATTTACAAAATGTTAAGTGTAGAACTTGAGAAATTTTTCCCAAGTTTAAAGCCAGGAAAACATTCCTTTTCAAAGAGAAATCTAAACACAGATAAACTGAAAATAAACCCACTAAAATGCTGAAATTAGGAGTAAGTTCCAAATATAATCTTAGGTACTAATAAAAGAATGCAGAAAAATCTGTTTATTTCCCATACTTACTTTGTCTAGGGTAAGCATATAGAAATTAGTGATATCATGTTCTTGAGCATAACGAATTCTAGCTCTGCACTCTTCTTCGTCTATTAGCTCACCCACGTACTCATTGACAAATTCACCCTGAAAGAAAAAATTCTCAACTTAATGACAAGTGGAACTGTGTACACATAAATCTCATTTTAAAAAAATTAACAAAAATATCACATTCACAAAAGATTATATGAATGCAATGAGTTAAAGAAAGTCTTATTCAGAAACATGTTTCAACAGACAGTGATATCTACCTGTCCATTCTCAGTCATAAAGATTAGCATCCAACAGAGAATGAAGACCAGTTATAATGGAAAATTAGCAAGCAAACCAGAGCTCCATTAAAAAACAGACACGGGTGGCAAGGAGCTGCAACTACAATCCCAGAGGCACACGGTTCGAATCCACCAGATGCTCTGCAGGGAAAAGGAGGGACAATCTCCTCCTGTACCAGTCAGATCTGATTTGACGGTACACTCACACAAAAATTAAAAAACAAAACAAAACAGACATGGACAGTAGATTTCCAATACTAGACTAAGAGCCTTAAAGTCTGTCTGCTCAGTGGAGCGTGCATTCACCACACTATAGTCACACAGGCTTTCACAAAACCTGTCCCTCTACTTGCACTGCTTTTACTTTTACTTGTTTGAGTCAGTAACTATCTTTCAAGTCTCAATCTATAATATCCATAAACTAGTGATTTTTCTGCTATATACATTCAAGGCATTTTATGTTTCTACATGATTGTTAAGAATGATGTCTCTTTTATTAGATTCATTTTATAAGTAACTTACAAGCCCCTCCAAGTTCAAGTTATAGATGTTATCGTACTCATTCACATTCTATGAATCCAACTGTCTTTACTTCTCTTTAAAGTAAGATTTCACTTTATTAATAGATCATTAAAATCTAACTCTGTATTATGTGCTTGCTATTCACAACCATTGCAAGGATTCTTAAAAAGGATAAATAAAATAAGCAGCACTTATGGATTTCCCTCTTTGTTCTTATAAATAGTAAATACACTCAAAGAGAAGAATTTGTAGAGACAAAGGAGTTTGTCTATTCTAAAATTTCCAAATGAAAACAAAACAATATAGATACATACGATAATGTTAATCCCTAACTGTGCTACCTTTCTCTACAGTGAATGATGTGACATCCTTCAAAGAGAGTAAATCATGTTAAACAACTGCAAAGTCCAAAAACAAACAAGTTCTGGTAACCCTTACCTTTTTAATATCTGTTTTTGTCCGAAGTCCCCAGCCTCTCTGCAATGTGCGGAAAATTTCAACCTCTGGATACTGGCGTTTGGAGAAGCACTGGTTTTGGCAGCGGCCCCCAGCAGGACACACTGTAGGATGGCATTCATAAAGCAGCATGCGGTTGATGCACTCAGAGTCTATACCACAGGGGTTTTCATCAGTAGCTTTACAGTTGCATCGAGGAATTTCAGACAAGTCTGCAGTGAAGATCTGGACTCTGCCAATAGGACGGTTTACCTGGAAAAGAAGTGTATCAGGCGAGAGAGGGAAAACCAACCAACCAACCAACCAACCAAATAACACACTATGAAAAAAAACCCACAAAAGATAATTTAGAGATGCAAAGGGCAGATTTCTTGTCCTTTAAGTTGTAAGCAATAGCCTACATGATTTTTTAACTGTGAAGATATAAAAACTCTTCATAGTTGTATAGTTGGATGGGACTTAACACCAACCCTATGTACAAAGAGCATGAAAATACTGCCCAATCCCATCATCCTCACAACTTTCACTGTGTTTAACCCTATTTCAGTCACTGTGTCAATTCACCTCACTGAGGGACTTACTTTTTCATCATACCTCTACCAAGCATGATAAACGAATGTGAGACACTCACTCACCACCTCATCATGTCATGTCCATGAAGGATTTTGGCTGCATTTCTTCCAGGAAAGATTTATTGGTTCATTTGTTGGTGCATAGTATGTTCAATGAATTTTGCAAAAATCAGAACTCAAAGGAATCAATAATTCTTTAGATTTTGTTACTGTGATATAAAAATGTTTCCCTTGATAAAATGCTGACTATACCATCAAATCCAATAGCTGTTCTGTGGAAGAAGGATAGACAATCTCCTCCTGTGCGATTAACTGCCTCTGAAAACCTGCTGGAGCATCTGCTATGGGTTGATTCTAACTTGATGGTAAACAACCACCACCACCACCACAACGATTCTGCGCATTAATGACATACATCAGGTAGGAATGAATATGAAGGTGCCAGGCAAAACCAACAGCACTGGCCATGGATTTGAGTGGTTTAACATTTGGAAAACTACAATATTGATGAAGTTTAAACATATTTTGGTGACAAAAACTAACTTCAACAGGAAAATTATGGAAAAAGAGATTTATAGATACCAAAGTTTATTAGGTGTTTACCAGGGGTAAAAGGGATGGGAGAATTGGGAATAAAAAGTGAAGGAAACACTGCACTGTGAAAAAGTTGTAAAACAACACAGTGGTAGATGGAATTTGCTCCAGGACTTAAGAACCATAAATGACATAGCTGAGCCTCTACATCTTGTGGTTCCTAACCTCTACACTATAATAGACAAAGTGCTAGTCTATAGGCCTTTTATTCTAAGAACCACCTTCCCTCTGTAACTTGATTTGTGTGACTATTAGAACCTCTTGCTCTTTAATTTTTTTTTCTCATCCTTTGTTTTTTTTTTCTGCGCAAGTTAGGTTTTTTATCAAGAAAGGGTGTAACGCAACTAAACAGTCCGCCTAGAAGCATTTGCGGTGGACGATGGAGGGGCCAGACTCGTCGTACTCCTGCTTGCTGATCCACATCTGCTGGAAGGTGGACAGGGAGGCCAGGATGGAGCCACCGATCCACACAGAGTATTTGTGCTCAGGGGGAGCGATGATCTTGATCTTCATCGTGCTGGGGGCCAGCGCTGTGATCTCCTTCTGCATCCTGTCGGCAATGCCTGGGTACATGGTGGTGCCGCCAGACAGCACTGTGTTGGCGTAGAGGTCCTTGCGGATGTCAACATCACACTTCATGATGGAGTTGAAGGTAGTTTCATGGATGCCACAAGACTCCATGCCGAGGAAGGAGGGATGGAAGAGTGCCTCGGGGCAGCGGAAACGCTCATTGCCGATGGTGATGACCTGCCCATCAGGCAACTCGTAGCTCTTCCCCAAGGAAGAAGAGGAAGCCGCCGTGGCCATCTCCTGCTCGAAGTCCAGGGCAACGTAACAGAGTTTCTCCTTGATGTCACGCACAATTTCCCGCTCAGCCGTGGTGGTGAAGCTGTAGCCTCGCTCGGTGAGGATCTTCACGAGGTAGTCCGTCAGGTCCCGGCCAGCCAGGTCCAGACGCAGGATGGCATAGGGGAGGGCGTACCCCTCATAGATGGGCACAGTGTGGGTGACCCCATCGCCGGAATCCATCACAATGCCAGTGGTTCGGCCAGAGGCATTCAGGGACAGCACGGCCTGGATGGCGACGTACATGGCAGGGGTGTTGAAGGTCTCGAACATGATCTGGGTCATCTTCTCCCGGTTAGCCTTGGGGTTCAGGGGGGCCTCCGTCAGCAGCACAGGGTGCTGTTCGGGGGCCACACGCAGCTCGTTGTAGAAGGTGAGGTGCCAGATCTTCTCCATGTCGTCCCAGTTGGTGACAATGCCGTGCTCGATGGGGTACTTGAGGGTCAGGATG